TATGGTCCAAATCAAGATGAATTTAATGGGTTCAAGAGTTTAGCCAGTGATGAAGAACGGATTGACTATTTCACCATTGCAATCAGACATCATATGCATAGCCTACAATCATTTAACGTCTAAATAAATGTTTTCATTCAGGTTAATATATCACATGGACACTCATAAAAGATTGTAACCGCTACATTTTGAAAAAAATCAAGGACCCGAAGGAATTTAACCTAAAATAAATACACTAATTTAAAAAAGTTAATCCAAAAGTCATCAATATTGACATTTTCATAAGAATCTAAATGATCTACCTAATAAAGTTTTTTATATTACAATACAATAAAAGAATTTATACTTTTGCCTTCTATTTATTTTGTTCATGAAAATCATATTTAATAATCGGAACACCTTAGATTTAAATGGAAAAGAATTAAAATTAATTAAAATCTGAATGAAAAAGAATGGCTGAATTAGGATTTTAATTCAATTATCACATTGACTCCGCAATTAACGTTTTGATCTTTAAAGGATTTTGGGATAAGATTGTGATGTCTTTTTCCGAGCAATCTTTTACAGATTGCATGAATTAAAAATAGATTACCAAAATGCAATATAATTGAAGAAATCATGTGAAGATTATAGTAATTCCCTCCCTCAAATTTCTCACTCACACACCTATATATGCAGCACGGTAGAGAAGCATAATTTGTACTCAACCTTTGAACCCAGACAAATAACAAACGACGATGACGATGATGAAAACTTCGATAACTCTGATGTTCTGTGCAGTACTGCTTTCGTTCTTATATAGTAAGCATGGTCTTTTTTTTTTTCATAACCTATTAATGTTTTGTTTCCCTTACGTTGTTTTCTCATAAATGTCATTTCCAGGTGCATTATCTGAAGGTCGTCTTTGCGTAGATTTATACAAGGTGCCACACTGCAACACCGTGGCTTGCAAGAAGTACTGTCTAACGATCTATAACACTACAAAACTGTATACTGCTATATGTGTTCCTTACAATCATCCGGTCGATAACTGTATGTGTATTTTGAATAATTGTCCTCCGACCGCGGCACCATAAATAAGAAAAAGTTGATCATAGCAAAATAAGCAGAGATTTTGCTTTTAATTTCTTGTCTGTCTCTGTGTTTATTTGAAATGGGAAAATGAGATGAGGGAGGGTTATAATATAAATCTCAAGTTTTTTTTTAAGCTTTATATATATATTAATTAAATATTTCGGCTTTCACGGTCCTATCACAGGCAGATTAGATTCATTTTTGAAAAAAATTGACGACGAAACTTGAACTGGTTCAATATTTTGTATGATACTAGATTAATTATACTGTTTGGAAAAGTTTAGAAATGATCTGCAGCAACTTTAATAGAGATTACTCTTGACATACAACCTCGTTCTACCTAGTGGAGCTAGATTTGCTGTTTCTTTTGTTGTTGCTCATTTAAAAAGAGATGTCACACAAATTTTACAAATCGGTCATTTTGTGATGCGTAAAATTTATGTGAGTTGTCATTTTTAAGTGGAAGAATAGCGAAAGAGAAATCAAATTAAAAAAATAATTGGTAAACTTTACGAGTTAAGATTCTAAATAGAAAATTAACATACTCTATCATGAAGAGTATACACGCTTAGAATTAATAGATTCTAGAAATTGCATTAGGTCATATCAAAGAAACTTGTTGAATATTATGGTGCAACTCCCATGTTTGGTTTTACCAAAGGGTTCATCAGCCATCAACATAAATTTTCTGACATGCCTTGCATCAATGCCAAACCAATGGCCAAGCAGTTCAAGATATTGCGTTTATTGATTAGCGTAAGTAAATTAGGTAGTTTTCTACGGAAGTTCAAACCCACAAGGTACCTATCCCCCATAATAATTTTCTGCTTGGACTCCCTTTAGTTTGTGTATTATAGTCTTTTGCATTATTTTTCATTCATGCAGGAGATTGTTGGAAATTGATTCAAAATGTTGGTTACAGATACCAACTTTGACCAATTGATTAAACGAGATCCATTAGTTGATTATGGGAGTTAAA